GGCTGCACCTAGGGATTGGGCCTGCCCTCTGCCACCCGGGAGCAGGCCTAAGCCAGCAGGGTGTTATCTCCAGAGGGGTCCCAGACTGCAAGAGGGCACAGGCCTGGCTGAGAGACTACCCCTTCCCCCCGAGTGCACAAATTTTTGTGCACCGGGCCTCTAGTATCTATATATAAAGAGATTTATTATGGAGGCCCAAGAACCAGGAGAGCCCACGGTGTAAGTGTCAGTCCCAAGGCAGGAGAAGACCAGTGTCCCACCTCAAAAACCGTCAAGTAGAGAGAGCAAAGTCTCCTTATTCAGCCTTTTGCTCTATTCGGGCCTCCAACGGACTAGGTGAGGCATACCTGCAGCGGGGCGGGCAATCTGCCGTACTCAGGCTATGGATGTAATTGTTCATCTCATCCAGAACACCCTCTGAGGCTTGCCCGGAATAATCTGCAAGCAGATATCTGGGCACCGTGTGACCTAGTCAACACATGAAATTGACCATCACGCACAGCTTTCCCACCTGGCAGGGAAGTCTCCCACCCCTCCCTGACCTCTGCTTGGCGCTACTTCGCCTTGGCCCTTCTGATTCGGCAAAGCACCGTTTGGGATTTTGATTAGAGCTGTATAAACTCTATTGATCAGGGTAGGGAAAATCAGCCCTTTTATGTTGGCTTTTCCCGTTCATGAACATGAAATGACTTTCCATCTTTTTTTTAGATATTTTCAAAAATGTCTTTCAGTAATTTCAAAAATTTATCCATAAATGTATTATACATTTTTATTCAGTATTCTCAGGTATTTTATATTTTGAGACATATCTGCTTTACAAATACTATTTTCTTGTACTCTATGCCTAAAAAAATGACTTTTACCATATTTACATACATTACTGATGTTGGAAATAGTTTGTCAATGAATCCCACTGAGGAGACACAAGCAAAACACAGATTGGTTATAGATAGCAGAAGGAGGGAAACAAATCATTAGTTAGAATTTACAGTTTTGGTGAAGAGCAGCACCCTTTGAGAAGAATAAGTAATAGTCATACTACAAAATAATATACACATAAGGAAGTTACTGATCGTACTGATTTTATTGCTTAGCCATTTTATCTGGCTCACATTCAATGCACAGAAATAACACAGAATGTGAAGAAAACCGTGTCCTCCTCATTAGTCACAATGAAAAGGGTCTGCTGCCCCCGCAGGCCAGTGGGTATGGTACAGTAAGAGCACTTGATGGTTTAAGTCAGCCGTGGGCAAACTACGGCCCTCTTGAAATGAATAAAACTAAAAAAAAAAAAAAGACCGTACCCTTTTATGGAATGATGTTTACTTTGAATTTATATTAGTTCACACAAACACTCCATCCATGCTTTTGTTCCGGCCCTCCGGTCCAGTTTAAGAACCCATTGTGGCCCTCGAGTCAAAAAGTTTGCCCACCCCTGGTTTAAGTGGGCCAACGTGCTGTTTTGATTCTGAGCCACTGAGTAAAATAATTTCACCCATATTTGGTGACCAGAATCACTCTGTGGGCTCTGTGATAGACTGAGCCATTTTTGTGGTAGTTTCAGATCTCACTAAGTAAGAAAAAATTCTTCAACAAAGAAATATAGTAATCAGTCTGTCCCAAAATTCTATATGCAGTCTCTTTCTTGAGTGTAAGGTAGAAAAGGGGGCCCTTTCTTGAGTACATTGATACAAGTAGTGTTGTCGCCTAAAGGCTGGTTCTATTCAATTTATTCAGTTCTTAGACTTAAGTAGTGGGGATACCTATGTTGTTATATTTACTCAACCCTAGAGGAAAGTGAAGTAACTTGCCCATGGCCATCCAGCTAGTAAATTGTGGGTGCTGGCCTGGCCGGTGTGGCTCAGTGGTTGAGCATTGACCCATGAACCAGGAGGTCATGGTTAGATTCCAGTCAGGGCACATGCTCAGGTTGCAGGCTCAATCCCCTGTAGGACACATGTAGGAGACAGCTGATCAGTGATTCTCTCCATCGTTTTTTATTGGTTTAGAGAGAGTGAGAGGAAGGAGAGGGAGGGAGGGAGAGAGAGAAACATCGATGAGAGAGAAACATCCATATGCTGTCTCCTGCACATCCCCCACTAGGAATTGAGCCCACAACCCTGGCATGTGCCCTGACTGGGAACGGAACCAGGGACCTCTTGGTGTGTGGGTTGAAGCTCAACTACTGAGCCACACCGGCCGGGCACACAACATTTTCTTATTCTCATCTTTTTAATCTTTGTAACATGTGTGGTCGTGGTCCCTTGGTATCCTTAACATTGATTACAGTTGCCTTTTCTCCTTTTTCTTGATCCAGCTTGCTGGAAGTTTAATTTTATTCGTCTATACAAAGAACAACTTCAGCTTCTTTGATCCTCTCTATTATATTGCCATTTTCAATTGATTTCTACTTCTCTTCCTAAGCTTTCTTTGGGTGTGTTCTGTTCTTTCCCCCTAACTTCTATTGAATATTTAGTCATTCGTTTTCAGCCTGTCTTTCCTGGAATGTTTATTCTGTAACTTTATCTACTTCAGCTGCCTCCCACAGGCTTTCCTTATCACGGCTGGGCACTAGCCTGCCTCCCTGTGTGTGGGGAAGAACTGGACCTTGAGTAGTTTGCATTAGAAGTTTGTGCTGTTCATGGTTGAAGTAACATCAAGATGTCAGTGAACTTGAAGTGAATCACTTAGACACAAGACCGCTCTAATGCTCAGGCTCAAAGACAACTGACCATTTAGAGAGACTGCTTAGAGGCCTTCCTTATCACAGGTGTATCTTTATTCCAGATAAGCAAAAGGGGAAATAAAATGACCTGTCATCTCACTGCTTCGCAACAACCACTAGAGTGTGTGTGAGTACACACGTGGCATTTCCTTTTGTACAGAAGTAGGACCATGTCATACATGCTGTTTTGGAACATCTTTCACCTGAACAGCAGGCACATCACGAACAACTTTTCAGGTCAATATGTTTGAAAAGAACACGAATTTCAGGGGCAATTTTATGTTCGGTTTAGTGATTTTGAGAGCTTCCTTGTCTACACGTGATCATCTGTTCACAGCTCTTTGTCTTTTTCTCTGGGAAATAGTACATTTAAAACGGATGTGGCTGGATTGTAACCTTGGGTGATTTCATGAGTGAGTGCGAAGAGGAAAGTCCTGTTTCTGGTGCCAGGGCAGTCAGGCAGTACCTGGTTCTGTTATACATGTGTAGTCCTGATACTATCTCGCGACTTAGCTCCTCAGGCAGGAAATGGAGAGGAGGCAGGCAGGCGAGGCTGCAGCAGCCTTCTTGTTAGGCTCCCATGCCTGGGATGTTATAATCCATCAGATAAGACCTCCAAAGTATAGGGCCGGAAGTGCTGCTGGTGGTGGGGGGACCTGTAGAAATGAGATTCCAACTCTGTACTTAAAAAGGCTAATTAATTAAGCCCAGTTGGTGTGGCCCCGTGGTTGAGCGTCTATCCACCTATGAACCAGGAGGTCATGGTTTGATTCCCGGTCAGGGCACATGCCCAGGTTGTGGGCTTGATCCCCAGTAGGGGGCGTGCAGGAGGCAGCCGATTCATGATTCTCTCTCATCAGTATGTTTCTATCTCCCTCTCCTTCTCCCTTCCTCTCTGAAATCAATAAAAATATATTTTTTAAAAAGGCCAATTAAGAAAGAGGAAGCGGTGGCTATGCAGAGTACAGAGAGAACCCGGAGGTTATGAAATGGCTCCATATTTCAAAAGATGACCGAATCCTGGTTGCATGTGTTTTGAGCTTGGTTGGCCTCGCCTGCAGTCGTGGCTGATGTTTTGGGTCTGTCTGCATCCCTGCTTTATTACAGGAGACTTTTTTGACACCCTCTGGGCGTCCCCTAAGGCAAGCAGATGCTGGCTGTTCTTCCGCTTGTCTGGTAGGTGGCATCGGCAGCGTGACAAATGCTGCCCAAAGGTATGGTGCCTGGAGAACGCGCTGCTCCTGCCAGCCCTGCCTTCCCCCAGGAGGGAGGCTTCTGCTCCTTTGCTTCTTAGGTTTGGAAAAAATGTGCCTGTGGGACGCAGGTATGTGTTCTAAAATTGCCTGCCTCCCACCTCTTGTGGATAGAGCTGCCTGTGGGAGTTTAATTAGAAACTGATAAGATTTCCGTTGTCTCACTGGAGGCCATGCCTGGCATCTTGTCTTTGGAACAGAGGGCATCTGGTGGCTGTTGGCAGCAGGGGACCCTGGAGACCAGGCTGGGAGTAGGAGAAACTCTCTGAAATCAATCTATTCCTTTTTTTTTTTAAAAAAAATATATTTTATTGATTCTTTTACAGAGAGGAAGGGAGAGAGAGATAGAGAGTTAGAAACATCGATGAGAGAGAAACATCGATCAGCTGCCGCCTGCACATCTCCTACTGGGGATGTGCCCACAACCCAGGTACATGCCCTTGACCGGAATCGAACCTGGGACCTTTCAGTCCGCAGGCCGACGCTCTATCCCCTGCGCCAAACCGGTTTCGGCGACTTACTTATTCCTTGACTGAGGCCCGGGGTTCAGTTGCAAAGCTCACTCAGGGCAGGCACTGCTTGAGAGGTTGTGCTCGAAGGCCCTTGTGCCCACCTCATTTTCTGAGGGTGGGAGCGAAACTCTTCACAGCATTAGTATGTGGACTGCAGAGGCGATGGGTATCGTGGGCTTCTGAGGCCTGGAAGGGGTCGGAGGGTACACGGTGACCTGCAGGCTCCCCACAGATGCTGGGGCATCCGACCTGGGCCTGTAACAGCATCAGGGGCATCCCCAAACCAGTTGGAATAAAGCTCTGCCAGCCCTGCTCCTTGCAGAATGCTGAGCGCGTGTGTCAAACGTGGGCATCTCACGGGGCGATTTTGTTTGAAAAGCAATATTGGCACTTGGGGGCAGTTCTCAGCTATGGTATCACACATCTTAAAAAACTATTTAAGCTTCATGTCTGTAAGGAGCGAGCCTATGCGAACAGGATGTCTGTGTGGCAATGAAATTTATTACAAAGTGAGTCTGACTTAATCAGTTCTTGCCTACATACACGTGCAGTTTATAGTGCTACCTAAGAATATTTTTTATTGAAAAAAAAAGAGAGAGAGAGAGAGAGAGAGAGAGAGAGAGAGAGAGAGAGAGAGAGAGAAAGCAGCATTTCTATCTTTTGCTGAGCTCTGGCATAAACAGCTATAGAAGTACTAGGAAGGAGGGATCCAAAGAGAATAGAGGTTGTGGGCTAGGGGGTCTGTGTGGGGAACTAAGAAAGGATCCCAAGCTGGGATCTGAGGGAAGGGGAGGGCTTACTTGGAGGAATGGAGTTCGCCATCCAGACAGCAGCACGTTCAAAGGTCCTGTGGTTGGGGATTGTGACTACAGGATGGAGACTGTTTAGAGAGGAGCCAGAATGGGTCTGGGGCTCTGCAGGAAGGCACTGACTCACTCTTCCTCTTCTTTTAGGTAAAACCTGTTTCCCAGCGTGCTGGCATCCTGTGGAAAGCTGGTCAGCTGCACCTGGGCGGGAAGGATCTGGAAGCCGTCTTGTCCGAGGTGTTGAAACCAAAATAAACATTATTTATGAAACCGGCACATTTGTGTGTGTCGAATGTCTGCTCAGAACGTCACCGCAGGAGAATCGCCTCTCCCTGCCTCTGGACACCACTTCAAAATGTTTCCCTTTCTTCCTCCTCAAGGGGCTTCTGCCTCGCCCAGGGGCACAGGGTAGAAACGTGTTGACTTAAAAAATATTAACCTGAAAGCAACTGTTGACCAAAGTAAAAGAGATCAGAAGTTATGAAGAACCTCAAGAAGAATATCCATCCGTGCAGCGAGGCGTTCTGATGTTCTGCTCTCCTGGATCTGTGACGTGCGAGATGTCTAACCCTGTGGACTTTGGGGTTTGGTCAGGTTCTGGCCTTCTGTTGGGAATGGCTGTGTTCAGAGTGAGAGTCCTTGGAGCCGGTCAGCCCATAGCAGAAGTCAATACATGTTTGTGGCTCCTTTTCTTTTTCTTCTTTTGTTTAAAGGGCTCAGCAGAACTGGGCATGGTGACTTCATAAAGGATTTTGAATATCAGGGAAAAAATATATGTGTGTACCTCTAAAGTAATTTCTTCTTGTCTGAAGGAAAAAGAATGCACTAGGCAACCTTTGGTTAGTAACATCCTTGTGTGTAGCTCTGTGCCCTGTCATGGTTCTGACATTGTCAGTCTTAGACATCTAATTGCAAAGTATCACTGGGGTCATTTCAATGCATGGTGGTTTGGTTGGCGGAAAAAGCACACTGTCCAGGCTGGACTAGAAGCCCGCTGACTCGGGGGGTACCACAGCTGTGGGTCAGGGGTTCGGGTGGCTTCTGGAAGCAGGGACTTGGGTTGGCTTCTCAGGTTGATTGGAGTTCCCGTTTCACTGTTCCCCGGGTGGATGCTCCTGCTAAAGCCGACTGGCAGTGCCTTTGGGGCCCTGGGACTCTCTTTTCCCCGGAAAGGTGTTTTGTACTTTTTTTAAAAAAAAAGCTCTTTTCTGGCTTCCTGCAGGGTTTGTGTATGGGTCTGTTAATTGTCTGCACCATTGCCTTGGATGAAGACTCCAGCCTTTCCCAGCTCAGGCCTTTCTCAGATTCTTCAGTTGCCAGAACTGAAGCCGGTGGGGGGAGGAGGGGCGGGGTGACCCTAGGGGAGACCACTATGGGAAGAGCACATGCTGTATGGAACGCACCGTGCCTGCTCCTCCCAGATTTCATTTCCTTTGTTGATTTTCCTTTTCCTCTTCTGTCCTATTTGCCAGAGGGATGGGCCTGCTTTCTCTCTCCCCGCCACAGTGTCTTCATGGGCCATACATGGCAGCTGTGCGCCCTCTGCCCTTTGAACTGGAACTGCCGCTCACACTTGCCTTTTCCACAAGCTCCGCAGAATGGTCTGCGGGAAAGCTGGGTGCTCTGCCTTACATGTAAAGACCGGCTCAGGCTGCCCGGTGCACACCGCCAGGCCTGGCAGACACAGCGGGGAATGACCTCCCAAATTGTGGAGCTTCAACACTACAGGCTCTTAAATCAATCAATCAAACAAACAAACAAAAACATCAACAACAAAAAACCTTCGGCATGAACAATGAGTGCACTGGTCTGGCTGTTTTTGAGATGGAAGCCAGCGAGATGCCTTTTGGTGATCAGGGATGAGGGCGCAAGACTGGAAGAGGCGCGGGAGGGGCCCAGTGCCATGTGCCTGGACCTGGTGGATTCCTGTCAAGGGCACATGCACATGCCCAAGTTGTGGGCTCGAGGCGTGCAGGAGGCAGCCGATCAATGATTCTCTCTCATCATAGACGTTTCTATCCTTCTCTGAAATTAATAAAAAATATATATTTAAAAAATAAAAAAATCATTTCCCAAGAGCTGCCTCTTTGGTTGATAAATACTGAATCCTCATTGTTTTCGGAGAATCCTGAGGTACCTCCAAAGAATAAAGAACCAATTGTGTCAAAAACTGCTGGCTAATTACTGCCTCCTACTTTAGTAGGCTTAAGCTTTCCAGGAGTGGGACCGGGTAAGATCAGACTGTGTTTATGTGCAGTGAGTAAGCTCCAGAAAAAAAAGCTCATTGTCTCCATTCTAACTTGGGAGAATGTTAGGGAGAAGCCGGTGGGTGAGGACTGTCTTACTCCCCCACAAGGAGCTAGCTGCTCCTGTTCTCTGCCTTCTAAACTGGTCCAGGGGCTCCTCCTGGTTTTTAAGTTGTTTTTACAGTTGTTCTCTGTGCCTTTCTTCTCTTGATCTCTTGCCTGTGGTTTGCTGTTTTTATAGAGTTTTGTTTAGGTTGCTTTATCTTTCTGTACATTGTGTAGGTTTATGTATATCATTCTTTATAGCACTCTATTTGAAGCTGATTGATGGTTAAATTTGAATATATTCTGTAAGGACTACATTTTTACTTCCCTATACATGCTTTATGTTATTGATGTCCTGTTTTAGATCTTTCTGTGTTGTGTATCTCCTAAGTACTTATTGTAGTTTGAGTTGAGCTTGATACTTTTTTAACCATCGTAGTAGCTTTTTAAATGTGTGATTTGCTGTATTTATTGAACATTTGGCTGTCTCTGTGAGTTTTTCCCCCTCATGTTTTCTTATTTCTGGTTATGGCCTTTCCTTTTCTACTTAAAGGAGACCCTTTAATATTTCTTGAAAATCTGGTTTAATGGTGATGATGAAGTCCTTTAGTTTTTGCTCATCTGGGAAACTCTCTCCTTTAATTCCTTGCTGGGTAAATTATTCTAGGTTGCAAGCTTCCTTGCTACTTTGTATGCTCTCTCTAAAAAAAAAAAAAAAAAAAAAAAAATTAGATCAAGAACTTTGTCTTGGATGAAAACAGTGCCTGCTCAGAGATTCTATGCTGGAATTCTCCTTTTCCAATGATTGACCCAATCTGCCTGGGTCAATCCATCTTGGCAAGATGACGCTGATGCAGGGACACTTCCCACCTGCTTTTCCAGAGTGTGGCCTAAGGATCAGGAAACGGACTTTGGTAAAAGCCCTGGAGCAGTTGGGGTTCTTCAGCTTATCACACCTGGCTCTTCTGGAGTCTGTTCCGAGGGAGAAGTTAGCAGAGTCCATTCAACGAAATGAAGAATTCTTTAAAGAGGCCCTGCCACTCCCTTCTGGCCTATAAAGTTGCTGGAGAAATCAGATGACAGTATCACAGGGTTTCCTTTTTGTGTAACTAATTTTTCCGCATGCTCCCTTCAAGAATGCCTCCATCTTTAACTTTTGTCTTGCCGTGGGTCTCTCCGGGTTCATCTTGTTTGGACCTGAATGTCTGTTTCCTGGACCTGAATGTCTGTTTCCTTTCCCAGGTTAGGAAAGTTTTCAGCCATTATTTAAATAAAGTTTGTTTTTCTTTCTTCTCCTTCTGGGATCCCTGTAATGCAAATACTAGAGTGCTTTAAATTATCATGTGTGTTTTTTCTTGTTTTTAATTCTTTTTTCTTTGTTTTTCTGATTGGTTGATTTCCACCAGTCTGTCTCTAGGTCGCTGCTCTGATCTGTATTAGCTGATCTATTTCTGATTTCTGGGTTTTTCATTTCAGTTATTGTGTATTCTTCAGATCTGCTTGGTTCTTTCTTACACTTCCTAATTCTTTGTTGACGTTTTCCCTAAGTTCCTCTATTCCACTCCCAAGTTTGGTGTGAAGCTCCTTATGGCCATTTTTAAAAATTTTTATCAGGCAAATTGTTTCCTTAGGGTACACCTCCCCCCGACCCCGGGGATTTTTCTTATTCCTTCTAGAGATGTTCTTCTGTCTTTTCATTTTGTTTGACTTTTTGTGTTTGTTTATATGAATTAGACAAAATAGCTGTCTTGGAAAAGCGGCCTTGTATAGAAACCGGCTCTGTGTGGGGTGGTTTTGGGAGACCCGTAGGAGCCGAGCGGTGCCTAAGCCCATCAGGAGCGGCTCCAGGCGGGGAGACCAGGTGTACCTGGTAATGCCTTGTTGGTCCTGCTGGCTCTCTGTCCCAGCCGAGATGGGCTCCAGCGACGTATCCAGAAACAAACACACTGCAGCGACCTTGCAGGCTCTCGCCCGCCGTAAGGAGGTGGAAGGGACGTAAACCATGGAGATCACCAGCCCCTCTAACTCCGGAAAGGCCCGCTGGCTCCCCAGTCTTCTCTGTGCAGCCTTTCTCTGGTTGGTAGTATCGAAAGTGAGCCACGTAGAAGCGACCTCCACGTGGCTCTGCATTCCAGATGGTTGTGGGAGCCGAGCATGCGCTCTGGGCTCCAGGACACCAGCCTGAGAGGAGCTGAGCATGCGCTCTGGACGCCTGGGCACGCGCCTGACAGGAGGAGCCGAGCATGCGCTCTGGACGCCTGGGCACGCGCCTGACCTGCAGGTAGGCCCAGGCCCAGGAGAGGGCGGCCGCCATGGAGGTGGAGGGACGGGAGCCGCCGCCTCAGGCCCAGGTCCTGCGGCTCCGGGCGCCCTGGGCCCAGCTTCTCTGTGTCTCTCCCTAGTTTGTCGTCAGAGTGTCGCTGGGCGTTGTTGTCTCAGGGGTGACGGCTCCCTGTGCTCGCGGGGCCTTGGTTCTGCCCACGGGGGGCGGGCTCAGCGTCCTCCTCCCCCGCCGGCTTTCCCCCTTCTCCATTTTCTCTCCAGAAAGTATTATGTGGCCATTCTCACACCGTGTGGGGGTGGGGGAAGACTGGGGAAGGTTATTGCAAAATGACTTTTTTTGGTAAAGACATCGTCACCTTATCCCCCAAAGGGAGTCCTGCCCCCTTCCATGGGATTCCTTTGTTTGGGTGGAATTTTAATAGAATCCGGAGATGACGACCCAGGGGAGCAGGAGGTGGGGCGTGGGGATGTATCCTTGCCCCGCACTTGCTACTGATTTGGGACTTGAGCCATCGCAGCCATTTCGAGCGGTTGGAACATTGTCAGAAAGAGAAGAGGAGGAGATCGGAGAGAGGGGGCGGGGTAGGGTGGGGAGGAAAGGAGAGGGGCCGCCACTGCACCCACAGAGGCGGCGTCACCACCCTTCTCTCCCGCGTCCCGCACCCCTCCGCCTGGGACCGAGTCATGCGTTCGCAGCTCCCACTGCTGCTGGCCTTCCTCGCCCCGCTCCTCTGAAGGCATCGCGGTTAAGTCTTGTCTTGTGTAATCAAATGATTTCACCCTTTGAGGGTGAGGGGGGCCTGGAGGTGTCTGCTGCAGCCCCTACCCCCCATCCAGCGCAGAAAAAGGGTCTGAGACCCCCGTCCCCCCAGGCTGCTCGCGGAGCTGGGGTGACAGGTGGGAGCCAGCGCTTACCTGGGGCCTGGCCCTGCCAACTTCTGGAAACGTCCTTGTGGTTTTAATTTTTTTTTATTATTTTTATATTTATTATTTTTTTTACATTTTAATTTCTTTATTGATTAAGGCAGCGGTTCTCAACCTGTGGGTCGCCACCCCTTTGGCAGTTGAAAGACCCTTTCACAGGGGTCGCCTAAGACCATCCTGCATAGCAGATATTGACATGACGATTCATCACAGTAGCAACATGACAGTGATGAAGTAGCCACGAAAATAATGTTATGGTTGGGTCACAACATGAGGAACTGTATTTAAAGGGCCAGAAGGTTGAGAACCACTAGCTTAAGGCATTCCTTAATTTGTCCTCATCCCCCCCCATTACCTCCAGGTGGTGCAGGAACACCTGACATGGCCGCAGGGCCTGCAGCTCACTGGCAGAAACAAGGCTCGTTTGCATGAGGGCTGGGAGCTCAGCAGACACCCTCTCGCATGCTGCGGGGTGGTCACGAGCCCGAACCCAGCACTGCCTGCCACCCGGGTCCGTGGCCCACAGCGTCCCGGGCCGGCCTCTCCTTGTAACGTGTCTCAGAACGTGCTGCTCTCTTGTGTTCAGTCTTCTCCAGGTCGAGCCGAGAGGCTTACCCTCAGGCTCTGATTTCCTGGGGATGGTCTCTGGCCTGTTTGTGCGGTGCTTGTGTGCGGCCCGGATGAGGCAACGGTGCACGTGGCGGGCCCTCAGGCA